TATTAAACCGAAACATGTAAGGCAGAAGTGATAAAGAAGTGACCTATAAATTGTTACACTCGACGGACTTTTTATTGACTTTGTATAAATATCTATTTATATGCCATCAAGTGGTAACGACCAGTTACAATCTCCGAAGCATATCTTGGTTCAGTAACAGCATGAATGAAACAAGATTTACTTTAACTGCAAAATTACAAAATTAGTACACAACACAAATTAACCAACTGGTGACACATACAGCAATGTAATAATCACACTGTCATTCTTGGTATGAAGTGTTGATTCAAACTGTTACATTTAGTTCACTATCAATTCACAAAGTTTCAAACCTTATATTAAAATACACAAATATTATTAGCCACTAGTCACTCTTCTATGTGTGGTATGTGTTCTATTACAATGAAATGTCACTAGTCTCTTTAAATGTGACACTGCACTGGATGTGCACAAGCCAGCACTAATACTGGATATACACACTCTGTGGTTGTAAGACCCATGATCACCTATGCTACCACTATATGGTGGCCCAGAGTTAAATTCAAAACAAGCCAAGCAGAGCTTGGCAAACTGCAAAGGATGACCGCCTTGGGTATCCTAGGAGGAATAAGAACTAAAACAGCTACAATGGAAGTCCTTCCACTTCCCCCCTCCCAGACCTGCAATTAGAGGCAGAGGCCAAAGTAGGAATTTAAGGAACTCTACTGCAATGATCAATGGAAATTCAAATCTGAAGGTTTTGGACATGCATACATAAACTCAGGACATGAAAAAATAACCCATCCTACAGATGGGGTCTGATAAAATGATTCCGAGGCATGTCTATGATAAACCCTTCATGATCAGATTCCCTGATAGAAGTGAATGGAAATAGGGGTTTTAACCTGACAGAAAGGGGGAGGTACTAAACTGGTACACAGATGGGTCCAAAACAAAGATATTGAAGCTGGGATGTACAGCCATGGGACAAGTCGAAACTTACTTTTGTCCTTGGGCAGTAAACAACAGTATTCCAGGCAGAAGTATATTCCATTAAGGCATGCACAGTTGACACTATAAAAATAGAAACATCTGTATTTTATCAGACCCTCAAGCTGCAAGTAAAGCACTTGACAAATAACAGATCATCTCAAAACTGGTATGGGACTGCCATCAATCCCTCCTACAACTGGCCAAACATAACAGAGTTCAACTGATATGGGCGCCAGGTCATGAGTCTATTGTTGATAATGAAATGGCAGATCAATTGGCAAAAACAGGATCTGAACATCCGTTCATAGGACCTGAACCAGCTTGCGGCATTTCAACATCAGATGCCAAGAATGCAATCATGGTCTGGATGAACATAAATCATAAAAAAACATTGGGAAACTATAAATGGTCTCAAGACAGGCCCACTGCCAGAAAAATGAAGGATCTACTGAAATTAAACAGAGACCAATTAAGATGGGCAGTAGAACTATTTACGGGTGCTTAGGAAAAGATGAAAGAGCCATACACATCCTATGTGATTATGAGGCCATTGCTTATTTTATATTTCATCACCTAGGCAAGTCTTTTAAGGAACCAAATGACTACTATGATATCTCCCATAAAGGATGTTCCATATGTCATTCGAACTGTAGGATTGAAAAAGTGTTATTTAAAAGGGGAAGCACAATAGAATATTGTGGTCCACCCCTTCCGCATTCATTCATACCTTAATTGAATTGAATTGAATTTATTTACATTCTATAAATCCTAAGCAGGTTAGTACCTTTGGATACAGAACAAGTCAAAAGGTTACATACATAAGTACAGGCAATTTTAGCTTAAAAATTAATATAACTTAATTTTATTTACATCATTCTCTATTTACATTGAAGTATTCATCTAAAGAGTAGAAGGAATGAGCATGTAGATAATTCTTTAACTCTGATTTAAACTTTTTAGTATCATTGCCCAAGTTTTTAATACTTTGTGGCAGATTGTTGAACACTTTTATGCCAGTAAAGTAGACTCCTTTTTGATATACTGATAAAGTTGATGAGGGTAGGTGGAAGTTATATTTTTGTCTAGTATTCATGTTATAGACATCAGAATTTAATTTGAATTTATCTTTGTTGTAAACAACAAATAAGAGAAGCGATAATATGTATTGCGATTGAAGAGGTAGAATTTTTAATTTCTTAAATAATTCTCTACATGAATCTCTACTTCTACATCCTGTAATGATTCTAATTATATTCTTTTGTATTTTAAAAATTATTACACTATGTGAAGAGTTCCCCCAAAATATTAATCCATAGTTCATAATAGAATGAAAGTAGGCATGGTAAACCATCTTCAATGTTTCCTGTGACATAAAAGGCTTAATTGATCTCATCGCATAGCAAGCTGCATTTAATTTAGGTATAATTTGTTCAATATGTATTTTCCAAGACAGTGTACTGTCTACATGTATTCCAAGGAATTTTGTATCAAGTACTTTACAGATTAATTTGTTGGCATAACTGATGTCCAGATCAATTTGGTGGTTGTTTTTAGTTGTGAATGATATGTAATGGGTTTTATCAAAATTTAATGAGAGTAAATTGGCTTCGAACCATCTGTTTAAGGCTTCAAATACAATATTTATGTCATTTTTAAAGTTGTCAAATTTAGAGTTCTTAAATATTATACTAGTGTCATCTGCATATAGAATTGGTTTAGATTTATTGTTGATGGTTTTAGATAGATCATTTATGTAGAGAAGAAAAAGTAAGGGACCTAAAATTGATCCTTGTGGAACACCGTGCTTTATAATTCCCCAGTTTGAAAATGCATTATGACTGGAGTTTTTATTATTTATTTCAACTCTTTGATACCTGTTTTTGAGGTATGATTTGATCCATTCATTAGCTTTGCCAGTTATTCCATAGAAATTTAATTTCGATAGTAAGATATCATGATTAACACAATCGAAAGCTTTTGCTAGATCACAGAAAATCCCTCCCACAATTAATCTGTCATTGAGAGCACTTAAAATATCGTTAGTTAGTTCATAGGTTGCTTTTTCTGTTGTTAGGTCTTTCCTAAATCCAAATTGCTCTTTGACTAATATGTTGTTAGAATTTAAGTGTTCAAGTAGTCTATTATACATAACTTTTTCAAAGACTTTTGAGAATGAAGTCAATATGGATATTGGTCTGTAATTAGAGATGCATTTTCTCTCTCCTTTTTTAAAAAGTGGTTTCATTACAGCGTATTTTAAGCGTTGAGGAAAAGTACCTGATGATAAAGATTTATTACATAGATGATTCAAGGGTGAACTGATGTAAACAGAGCTTGCTTTAAGTAATTTGGTAGAGATTTCATCATATCCATGTGAATTTTTGGGCTTAAGGGATTTAATAATGTTTTCAATTTCCTTCCTTGTTGAGAATTTGAGATTGATATTTGGAAATGAATTGTTAAAGGCACGAGACAGATAGTATATTGGATTATTATTATTATTATTATTATTATTATTATTATTATTATTATTATTAGTATTGTTGTTATTGGAATATGTTTTCTCAGCTAATGAAAGGAAATATTCATTAAATGCACTTGCGATAGCTTGTGGATTGTTAGTGGACTTCCCTTCAATATTCAAACTTTGTACGTCTTCATTAACAGATTTCTTTCCTGATTCAACTTTCACAATATCCCAGGTGGTTTTAATTTTATTGTTTGATTTTAGAATTTGGCTGTTATAGTTATTCTGTTTGGCTTCTTTAATGACTTTTGACAAAATTTTACAGTACATTTTGTAGTGACTTTTTAGTCTTGGATCATTACTGTCCCTACTGGCCAAATATAGTTGTCTTTTGTGTTTACATGAAGTTTTTATTCCAATTGTTATCCAGGTGGATTTGTTTTTATTTTCATTTTTGACTATTTTTAAGGGAAAGCTTGAATAAAAGATCCTCAAGTATGTGTTCAGAAAGCAATTAAATTTAGAATCAATATTATTGCTGTCAAATACATTGTCCCATGATTCATTACTTAATTTTGTGACAAAATCTGCCATCGTATGCTTGTTGATTTTCCTTACTGTTTGATATTGTTGATTACTGGGCTGAAGGTCAATATTATTTATTTCTATGAGTTGAGCATCATGATCGGATAAGCCATTTATAAAGGGTCCTACAGTATAGTCTCTTAATTTTGAGTTATCAATGAATATATTATCTATCGCTGAACTAGAATTATTTTGAACTCTTGTGGGAAAGTTAACAGTACTGGAGAGATTGTAAGATGATAACAAAGAGTCTAAATTTAGTTTCCTATTACTGTCGATGAGATAGTTTATATTTATATCACCACAAATTATAAATTCAACTTTTGAACTATGCAGTACATTTAGGATGGTTTCTAATCTATTTATAAAGTGATCGAAGTTTCCAGATGGGGCTCTATATAAAGTCAGTATACAAATATTAGAAAAAGGAGAGTCTAACTTTAGAGCACATGCTTCCAGATCCTGGTCTTTGCAATAATCTTCTAAATTTATTTTAGTAAATTTTAGGTTTTCATGTACAAAAATACTCACTCCTCCTTTCTCCAGTGTTTTCCTACAGTATCTAGCACCTAAATTATAATTTTCTAAGTGAAGATGTTCTAATTCCAGCTGTTTCATGTGATGTTCAGTAAGGCACAGTATGTGTGGAAGACCTGAATTCATGGAGCTTATTAGTTCATTTGTTTTCTTTCTCAATCCTCTTATATTCTGATGGAATATTCTTAGTACTTTATTATTCATTGAATTTAGTAGACTGCAATTACCTTTTCCGATTTCTACTGGTTCACTTACATTATTGTCTGAAAGATTAGTTTCTTTTGCAATTTCTTTTACTTGATAAACTTTACTTGCACTCTTTATACTAAAAAATGATTCTGAACACCCATGACAACTGGAATGTGTCTGCCTTTAATGCTCTCTGCAATGAACCCTTAAAAGCCAATTTTAAGAGCATGACTCATGAAACAAAACTCACATTCTGGACCTGCCTCTGCAAAGTCATGGACACATTTCCACCACACCACCCTGCAATAAACACGTTACAAATATTTTTCATCAAACAGTGCCATGAAAAATACATAACGAATAAGTCATAAAACTGTATGTTGTCGAAGCTATAAGTAATGTTCAGGACCAGTAGACCCAAACATTTGGCTTATCGGTAATGTTCCTTCTTGACCACCCAGTCTTTGTGTTCCCCATTTACCTTGCAAGATACAGTACAAAAATCATAACACAAACACAGTACATTTACGTTTCTTGAAATTTTACAGACTTTTTTTTTTAAGCTACACAGAAAGGTGCTTAACATTGTAAGATTTCGATAACATACGCAGCAATACTTTTTGACTTCATGTAGATTTCTAATTTCACTCGGCGCAGTAAGCGTACCATACATAAACATAATTAAAATCGGCATGTAACTTCGTCCGTGAACGTAGACTTTTATTTCACAACATCAAATAAAACACCAAACCACCATTACTACATCATACAGCGAAGAATCTCTCCACGTCCTCCATCATCAGAGGCGTCAGAGGAACATCGCGTTCAGGGTCGATCGCGTTGATCGCACCAAAGAATATATAACCGCAAAGATGCACACACGTTTTACGTGGGAGGCAACGTGCAGTTCGAGCGCGAGAAACTAGCAAGCGTGGTGCATTATGTAAGAGATATCATAGTACTGCTGCTACAACCAATATCTCATGTTATATTGTGTTGCCGTGAGTTATAATATTGTGACATGACGGCGAAAGTCGGAATAGTGAACAAGAAGATGAGATCATTGCTAGGCAGGGGCTCGATAAACACGTTTATGAGGCAGCAGATGCAGACGAAACAGAAGAGTACAGGATGTTGTCTATGCGGGAGTTCGTGGCAACGGCGTTGTAGACACGTTTCCGCAGCAACCAATCAAGTAGGAACGCTCAACAGTACGCGAAGAGATGTTTTCTGTCTTGTCCGTCCACGAGGCTATACTGCGAGGACTTGGGCTTGAACAAGTAAGCAGTGGTAGTTGATGATTTGCCGTGAGTGGTCGTGAGCGTCCTGAGGATTTTCCGTTCGTAGCAGCCAAGAATTGCACTACAGAGAATTGGAGATTTCATGCTCTGATAGAAACAGTGGTGAGTACTTACCGCTTTTTTGCAGGGGAAAGAATATATTTACTTTCATCCCCTGATATACAGGGCCAGAGAAACCGAATGTTTTTTGACAAGATTGTGTTATTTTTCATAATCCATGTAGTCATAGCTTTATGGGTGGCTGTCAGTATTGTAGCAGTTTAGCATAATGTTTATTACAATGATAAATTGAAGAAAAATGTTGTGAGAATGAGAAACGCACAGAAAGATCCAGAAGGTAAACCTGTAGGAGTGAGACCACTTTGGAGACCTATGCATAAAGGGTAGGATTGTATTAATCCTTTTCATGACACAAGCTGATTAGACTGACATTGTGTACCCATGTTAAAATTACCAGAGCAGAGTGTTTCCCGATGTTAATCACATAGTAGACAATTTTTGTCTAAATATGGTAGAAGCAGGCTCTCACACAGTGTACATCTGTTGTCTTTTAAGCTTAATGTCGAGAAGTTCAGAGGTTTTCTGTGTTGAGCTGCATATTTCCCGGGCACCATTTCAAGGGTTTAGTTCTATGGTACAAGTCAAAGTCATATTGCGACTGACGGTCAGTCAGTCAGTCAGTAAGTCTTGGTGTCGACCCCCATCTGGGGCTCATGACCAGATATTAATTATTACCGTTTGATAGTTACGGTCTTGTTTCTGTGGGGCGCCCTCTCTGACAAGAAGACGGGTCTGTCTTTTGTATATGCTGCTGGCCCTTGCCAGCGCATTCTTTCTCAGGTCCAAGTTCTTTGGGACTCGCGACCATATTTGCTGTCTCAGATTTGAGACTTCCGTTTTCGTCACCTCCTACGACTCGCAGGGTCACAGTGGAGGTATTCGACGTATTCGACACTGTCTCCACACGGGTGGGGACCTCTATGGTACAATTACAATTAGGCAGCCAGAGTATTAAAACACCTCACCAGACACAAACACCACAGAGATTGGACAGTGACAATGTAATTGCATTTGTTGCTTTACAGAAGCTTGAGGATTAAAGAAGGTACGAGGTCTGTGTAACGAGATGTGCGCAGCATCTTCCTGTGATGTGTGTCAGGCCATCACTATAAAAGCCAAGGTATTTTCAGATGCAGAAGAACTGTATCCTGCCCGAATAATATTTCCAGAAATAAAGGCTGAACCTGAGGTGAGCTGTGTTTCTATTAGGTGGATTTCACAAATAAAGCCATCCCTTGCTTTACAAACTTCGTTACAGCGAACAACTTAGTTTCGTAAAAGTTTCTCTCCTTTTTTTTTTTTTTTGGTACTTTCTTTGTATCTTGTGACAGCAGAGAAATTCTGTAGACCCAAAGGACTATAACATATTCCTTGCTCATCCAATCCAGTAAGCTTTGCTTTGGTACAATATCATAAATTTCCAAGATCTGTAATTCCCTCTTTAACATATAAATCTCTGATGATGACCATATAGAGCCAAATATGTATTGCACATTTTATGTAATAAGTGAAGTTTTAACTATTATGAAGGCAGTCCAATATTAAAGGTACAAGTGTTTGTTAATGATTGCCTGCAAGGGACATCTCAAAGTCACTTGCATACTTGCATGTATTTAAATGAGTGTGAAGGGAGAAGTAGCAAGGGTGATCGCGATTGGGGTTTGTAAGGTAGGTCAACATGCCTGAGTTTTACATGCGAATAAAACAGACAGTGTGACTGGAAATTATTCCATGTTTGAGGTCCGCACGGTGGTCAGATTTTTGCAATCAGTAGTGATTCAGACTGAGATTCATTGCTGGTTAGTAAGCTTAGTGAGTGTGTACAGCCAAAACGTTTTCAGCCTAAAGGAACTCTTTGGTGCAACAAATTTAAAGTTGGCCAGATGTCACTGAGTGATGATCCAGAAAAACACAGGCAGACCAAGGACTTCGACGACCTCGACCACAATTGTACACTGATGAAATTTGTGTCATTGTCGAAGGTTTCATAAGGGAATATTGAAGAGTCAAATTTCGTGAAGTTGCTGATGTGACAGGTATTGCAAAATGCATTGTTCATGAAATCATCTCAGATTTAAACTTATAAAATTTCTGCCTGCTGGGTTCCAAACAATGCCCACTGAGGAGCACAAAAGTCTTTGCTGTTAACCAAGATGAAGGAGAATCGTTCGTGGAAAGCATCATTACAGGAGATGAACCATGGATTTTCGAGTTAAACCCAGAGTGAAAAAGAAGCCCCCATCGCAAAAAACAATTGTGCCGTACTTCACACCACATGGAGAAGAACAGCAACATGAAGGAGTGTTTAAACTTGTAAAACGATGGGATAAATGTCCGAATGCTATATGGAAAAATGAATATTAGTATGTAGTGTTTCTTTTCACATTTATTGTACATAACCAGCAGAATCTGCAATAAATGTATATGTTCTGTAAGTACTGGCTGGTGAATGAGTTATGACCAGTGGCATAACTGATATGTATTTTCTGTTTACACAGGTGTCAGTTTAATATATTGGGGTTTTGCTTAGATCTATCATTTCAGTTAGGACGGTGTATCTTTTCAGTCTCTGTGTAGTTTCTCTATTGTCTAGTAGGTTCACTGCTAGTGCATTAGTGTGATTTTCTAATTTTGTTAACTATTTCGTGTTCCACTTTTTTATCTCATTGAGCACTGTGTTCATTTGTAGAACGTATTGGATCATGAGGATTTCAATGTTGGAATTGGAGGCTGTCCCCCATAGCTGAATTCCATAAGTCAGTATGGGTGTGAGTACTGCTTTGTATAGGAGGAGTTTGCTTTCTATTGATGTTGTTGATCTTCCGAGTAGCCAGTTCATTTGCTTTGCTTTTAGGTTGAGCTGTTTTCTTTTGGATTTGATGTGCTTTGCTCAGTTAGTCTTCTATCAAGATGCATGCCCAGGTATTTCACTTCATTTTTCTGGGATAGATCAACATTGCCCATTTGCACTGTTGGACAGGTTTGGTTGCGTAGGTTGAATGTAATATTCGTGGATTTTGCTTTGGTTTATTTTAATTCTCCATTTCTTCGCCATTAATGATCTTACTGATGGTGGCTTGGAGTTTCATTGAAGCTGTTGCTGGATCTTAATGTGTGGCTAAGATTGCTATATCATCAGCGAAGGTAGCAGTTGCTGTGTTGTCTGATGTCAGGAGGTCACTTGTGTAGATAAACTCGACTTTATTAAAGATTATTTTTTTGCAATAAATATGTTGATGTGATTTGGTGCTGTACCTTTAATTTTGACTGCCTGCATATGTTTTACTTAATTGTTCTTAATACTTACTTGTTCACTAAGCGTGTTAACTATTTTGTGCGGCAAGTCTTGTAGCCGAGACTGGATGAGAATGCTGCAGGCTCTGGTGTGTCCTTATTCACTTTGCAAACTTTTGTAATTATGGTGATGAACTTTGAGTTCCGTGAAAGGTAAGACTTATTCTGGGCTACCTGAGTGACCACAAACTTCTAAAGAAGGGCTCTGCTCGCTGGACTTAGCAGTTCAGTAATTTTGAATTTGCAAGGAAGAAAGCTGTACAGAACATTTATTGTCAGTTTGACGCCATAAAGAAAGGAAAGTGTATCCAATTTTTAGCATATTTTCCTTTTTTTGAAAAATACAAGAAGTTATAGGAAGCGCTAATTGCCTGCTTCCCTTCACTACATATTGAGTATTTGGCATGATCTCAACTGGATATAAAACACCACATCCAGTAACTTTTGAATTGAATGTGACCAAATGCCTGAAACCTGAAGTAGTTGAGTCTGAAGAGACTGCTGTTGCAAGGCTTCGACTTGGTAAACATGATCCAACAGCAACAAATATACTTGCAAAAATGGAAAAACTGTTGGACGTGATGCGTGGCCCATGTCTTATCAGATACTCAAAGTGTAATGAAAGGAAAGTACGTGATTATTTCTTCCCAGGACTTCTTGTATGCAATGCGAATGCACAGCCATTATAGATAATGGCACTGTTTGTTTTACAGAACACTGCAGATTTTTGGAAAGTACGAGGTGTTCCTAGTGAGATATGTCCAGCTTCTCCAGCTATCAGAATAAAAGCTGAGGTATTTTCAGATACAGAAGAAGAGGAGTATCCTGTCCCACTGACATTTGTAGAAATAAAGGCTGAACCTGAGGTGAGTTGTGTCTGTATGCCTATGTGAGGCAGATTTCACATATGTAGGTGTCCCTCGTTTTACGAACTTCTGCTACAGTGAACAGTGTATATTCACAGGAATTTTATTTCTGCAAAAGCAGAGAAATACACTCACATCATGGAGCAAGTGGAGAGAAACAGATATCACCACCCATGTGCATCTCCTCACCATTCCAGTCTGTCCACATGTCTTCTTCTAATCGTACAGAATCAGCTGTGCTCCTGACACTTATGTCATCCATAAATATCTGTTATTTATTCCCATATTGGTTCCCTAACAGGAGAAAGTTGTTGTAAAAGTTAAAACAAGAAAAGAATCCACTTTAAGATGAGCTGTGAAAACTTAATGTATGGCTCCACAATGAAGTCGAGACTGTCATAAATCCTGTCTAAACACTATGTCCTGTATTAACTCTTGTGCCTTCTGCACCAGCTCTTTTTGAGATTATACGTGCAAGGAATCTGGAGAGACTGCAGCCTTTCTGCAGAGGCATGTCTTGTTCTGTACTGTTTGGTGAAGGTGGCAACATAGCCCCATACTTCTTCTCACAGTGTGGCATTTCACCCTACCTCCCACAACAGGTTCATACTGAATACCTGAGCTTTTCAGCCTGAATGAGTACACTGTTAGCACCTTCTGCAGCTTGACAGTCATATGACACCTGCTCTCAGCACGTTCTATGGAATAAAGGGGGTTGCTGTTATCTGAGCCTTTGTTAGCCCTGCCTCTGCAGGTCAAAATTAATGAAAAACTATGACAGAATTCCCAGCAGTTCAAAGGATCACTTCACTGGGCTATGACTTTCCTAACTGAAAAACAGTTCCCATCTGGAGCACAAGTGCTATTCTGTCCCAATCTAGCGCGCGCGCACACACACACACACGTGTGCAACCCCCCCCCCCCCCCCCCCCCCNCCCCCCGCATGACCTGCTGAGCCTGTTGTTTATCGCAGCCATTGCTGTATGTGTCTGAGGCTCTCTGTTAACTTTGTCTATGACTGTTGAAAATTTACTGGCTTTGGTGCAACCATGATGGAAGAGCCTAGCTATACAGGTGCCATCTGCAGGAGAAATTATACGAGTTTACAATATTCATGTGAAATTGGATGTGTGTTGCAAGAAAAGAGATGAGTACGTGACAGACATTGTACACGCTACTCAGATTCCTGTCATGATTCATAGTGCTTTGAAGAGTGCACAGGCAGTTGAAACAAAGGCTGTTAAACCATTTGAAGGTGAAAATTACATGCCAAAATTGTGATATAATGGAGGTTTCAGAGTGGCAACAAGCAACATGAATTGAGAATTCTGTAAACATCCCCAGAAGCCTAGCTCTCATTTAGCAGAAAGCTGTAAGATTCCATGAGGCTGTCTTAAAAAGAGGCCCTTTCAGTATAGTATCATGATAGGTTCTAAATGGTTGTAGGATTTGTTTTTTTTTTTTTTTGGGGGGGGGGTAGTAACTGGGCTATGTGACAAGTTACAGAGGTTGGACAAAATAAAGGAAACACTACAGATACTGTACACATTTCTTTAGTAATATGGTGCTGGGCCACCTCTTGCCTTCAGTACAGCCACAGTTCTTCTTGGAATGGACTCGTACAAGTTTTGAACAGCCTCTAGCAGAATTTTATACCATTCTTCTTGAAGAACATTTTCAAGGTGCTTTAGAGATGTTGGAGTTCGGAATCTTTTTTTCACATTTGTCTCCAAAACTGACCACAGTGGTTCAGTGACGTTTAAATCTGGATACTGTGCTGGCCAGGGAAAATGCTAAAAACACCATCTAGTGTGACTCAGTATATATTTATATAATGCCTTTACATGTTTCAGTCAGTTGTGACTATCTGCAGAAGGCAATAACATGTTAAGGAACTACTTTTACATAGATTATAGAAATTAAGTTTAAAGATTATTTGTTTCATTCTGGTCCATCAGACTAACAATTATACATACAAACCACTGTCCAATGTGACATATAAGATTTTACTACATTAAAACTTATCTCTCTTACATGTTTCGGTCCTTACGAGCCATCTTCAGAGGGAACATCATTACAAACTGGAAACTACCATCACAATAGGTGTTTTGATTTAAAATACATACACTTATATCCTAGAATGTACAGTATGCATAAAGTCGAACATTTCACAATCACAGCAGCTTCCTGGTGTTGTAAAGTTTTTAAAAGTTTCTAGATGTTATTTAAAAAACCTTTACTGTCAATAGTTAAAATTTTTTAAACGACGTAGGTTCATGTCTGTACTCCTATTGTCCTTCTTGTATGGGGCAGATTTTGTGCCGCCTGTCTATCTTGATAAGGAGGTTCTTGATGTCGTCCAGGGTTTGTTCATGGCTTGCTGTCTTTTTTCACATCAAGAACCTCCTCATCAAGATAGACAGGTGGCACAAAATCTGTCCCATACAAGAAGGACGATAGGAGTACGGACACGAACCTATGTGGTTTAAAAAATTTTAACTGTTGACAATAAAGGTTTTTTAAACAACATCTAGAAACTTTTAAAAACTTTACAACACCAGGAAGCTGCTGTGATTGTGAAATGTTCGACTTTATGCGTACTGTGCATTATAGGATATAATTGTATGTATTTTAAATCAAAACACCTATTGTGATGGTAGTTTCCAGTTTGTAATGATCTTCCCTCTGAAGATGGCCGTTAAGGACCGAAACATGTAAGGGAGATAAGTTTTAACATAGTAAAAACTTATATGTCACATTGGACGGAGTGGTTTGTATTTATAAGTTTAAAGATGTTTAATTTAAAACTATATTAATAATAATATTTAAAATCTTGAACTGTTGAAGTTTGCTTCTCTGTGCCTTGTCTGTTAAAACAGGAGATAGGCATGTTATTTGCCATCCTCAGAGTTCTGGGCAGTGTTCTTTCCTCCATTTTTTATATGATTGGTTAAGGATCTGTGTTGTCAAGTTGTTTCTCCTTTCATTGTATAATGAGGCACCCCCACACTGGACAGTTTGTGAAGCTCACATTGGACAGTGTCTTTGGAAACCAGGTCTTCAAGATGAACATTCAGTTCTGCTGTCTAGTCACATAATGCTTCAGTAGTTCTGTGAGTTTTCAAGGCTATCTTTCTTAATCGATGATCTCTTTCTGTCAGTGTTGATTTTCGCCCACTGTTTCCTCTTCGCTGCTGTTGTGTTCCTATGATTCGTGTATGCTGACATAACATCTCTCTTGATAAACCTAATAAAGTGGTAGTTTTTATCACAGCTGCTCCAGCTAAATGCACACCAACAATCTGTCTTCTTTCAAAATGAGACAAGTTTTCCATTTTCTGATTCTTTCACACAGACTGTCACTCATCACAATCACTTATATGTTGATATGAGCACTAAATAGTGTAAACAAATGGAAAAAGAACATCCAGTGTTGACAACTGAAGTTCTGTGAATGTGTACAACACAAACACATTCTGTTCCTCGCTTTCTTAGTGATTTCATTAATTGCTCACCCCCTATATATACCAGTATGTAGACATCCAGTAGAACTAGGGAGCATTGAAACCAACAGTGGAATGAGGGCCAATAAAGTGGCCTGTTTGTTGAGTGATGTTTGAGCAGTGGTGCTCACTTTGACATATTAAAGGCTCTTTTCTCTTTTTGATCTGACAGTATCCTATGCATTTTGAACTTTCTTGCACATACACCATTATTGCTTTGCAGACTCATCAGACACATGCACGGACACCTTTTGCAGGCTCTCTAGCTCAGTGAGCCTGCTTGCAATGAGACTGCAAATGCAGCTGCCAGTGAAGTTGTTTTCCCTTGTGGGTTTGTCATCAGAACAACCTCTTGGGTGGTAAACTTTGTGCCTTACTGCTTTACTTTCTGATCTCATCATGGCAACACCTGTGGACAATCACACAGGATAACAGATTGCGAACAGTGAAGCCGTGTGTTTCAGTTTGGCAGTCCTCTAGCTTGATCAGGACGGAGTAAGTCATGCTTACATGCCTTCAAATTAGGCACAGTTACCTGAAATATATACATCTGTTGCAAGGTGCCCACGTCTCATCTGGAAGGGGATATATTCAAAACTGAGCAACTGAGCGCTAACATTAAACTGACCCTCCACAAAGCTCTTATTAGATTCGTAATGACTTATGCTAGTCCTGCTCAGAAGTTTGCGGCACACACCCATTTAGTGAAATTGCAGCTCCTGCAAAACAAGGTTCTCCACACCATTGGCAATTTTCCAAGGCACACACCAGTCCACGATTTGCACATGGCATTCAAAATCCCGTATGTATATGATTATATAACAAAATTATGCAGGCAGCAAGCAGAAGTCATACAAAATCATGATAATGAGAATGTTCGCAACATCGGACAAGCGAAGCCCAACGCAGAAAGTATAAGGGGCTTAAACTTGGCGGAGATCAGACACACGACCATTCAAGTGACTAGACTGCCATGGTAGCAAATACTACTAGAAATAGGGCATAATCTGCTGTACTGAGCCTGGACTGATAGAGGCCTTGTATATATTGTACACTGGAGTAGATATTAAGTATAACCTTGTAAATAAGTGTACATACTGACAGTAGACTTAATATTACTGACTACAGCTGACAAATGACAGACCAGGTCTCTTGTCAGAGAGGGCGCCCCACATGGACAGGACAGTAACCTTCGTATAAAAAGATACCTGGGGCTCTACACCAAGACACACAGACTGACTAACCATCAGTTGCAGCATAACTTTGACTTTGACTTGGAAAGGGAGCCAGTGTTCTGACAAATGCCAAAATTCTCATGGTCAGGGAATATTGCTTGGCATTCTAGGAGATGGCTGACATGGGTTTGTTCAAGATGTGAGGGGTGCTGTATTTATTTAACTGATTCTGTTCTATCCTTCTGTTTGGGTCATTTTATGTATATATATTGTGACATGTTGACCCCTACCTCCCCAGCGGCACGTAGCGGTAACGTAGCGCTCGCATAATAGGCGAGTCATCACTCCGCCACTCTCCCCGCGGTGACGTCATGAGCGGAGCCGAAGTTAGCCGAGTCCCCGCATCCTGGTAGCTATGCAACGCGCAACGCGTGGTGATGCCTCGGTGACGCGGAACCGCTTCCTACTGTGACGTGGCACGCAACAGGCACCACTGCGGATATATAAGGGAACTGCACAGCAGCTACCAGTCAGTCGTAATGTGGCCATCGCTGAAGACATTTCCGAGTTGTAATGTGAGCAGTCGCCGAGTTAAGTAGTAGTCGAGCGAGTGTGTTATCAACAGTTCCCCAGTCAGCCGACGACAGTTGGAGTATAGCAGCCGTCGCGGAAAGAAGAACCGGACGTGTGTGTAATTGTGTAATTGGGAGTGTGTGATACAGTGATACATAGCTCCCCTACTGTAAACGTGTAGACTACTGAAGACAGAGTGAACTGATTTGCGCATAGAGTTATAGAGTGTGAAACCCCTCAACAGTGGTAACAGATTAATGCGATTGAAAAGTGTGAAACCCCGCAACTGTGTTATAATTAATTGTAGCCGTTATTTGTAGATTGTTGAATAAACCAATTAACGATCTCTACGGCGTCTTCAGTAACGCACAACACGTTACACTGTTGTCAGAAGTGGGATTTGGACTTACACGCGTGACCAACGAGATTCGAACTCAAGACACGTGACAATTTGGTGTCAGAATTTTTACGAGCTTAAATACGCCTCAGAGAATTTTACTGCTACAAAATGGAGATGCAACAAATGATGGAAATGCTTCTCAAGGAAATCAGAGCCAGCCAAGAAAAAACGGAGGCTAAATTAGACGCCATTCAGGCGAAGGCATTGGCGAAAATGGACGCCGACTCGAAAGCCTGGCGAGAAGAAATGGCCGCAAAAACAAGGGCTATCCAAGCGGAGACGAAAGCAATCCAAGCAAGGACGGCCGCAATGAGAGACCGAAGGGTGAATGCCAACCACAACGAGACTATGGCCTGCCGAGAGATGGAGGCAAGTCTAGAAGAGGAAAAGCCGGCCACAGTGGACGCGAAACCTGTCGCGGCACGACAAGAGAGGTCCCCTTAGTGATACCGGTCGGAGCGACGATGGCCTGCCTAGTAATGGAGGCACGTCAAGAAGACGAAGAGTCGGCCTCAGTGCACAGGAAACCTGAGGCGGCAGAACAACAAGAGGTACCCGTAATAGACGCCGAAGTAATGCCGGTCGGAGAACCGAAGAAGAAAAGGCGTAGGGACCGACATCGACGAAAAATGAAGAACCCGATGCGGGAAAGTTGTGGACCCCAGAATAAATTGGCCGTCGTCAGCAGGAAGGTGTCCCGCCGTGCAAGAGTGTCATGGCGCCGGAGAAACATCTTCAGGAAATCTTGGACCCGAGGAGATCATGCGTCCCGGACAAAGTTGGCTGCCACCTGCAGGAAGATATCCCGCCGCGCGACAGTGGCACGACGTTGGGGAAATGACTCCAAGAAGGAAACTCCCCAGGGAACCTTCGGATACCGGAGAAAGGACTTGGC